GGGAAAGTCTGCTCAAAGTTTCTGGTTTGGCACGGTATTTCCAGACTTTCTGAAATCCATAAACAGACTCAAATGTTTTTTTTTGAAAGCAGAGCACAAAATTGCCAGGAACTCCAACAAGCAGCTGAGAAGGCCTGACTGGCTGCGGCTGTAGTTACACATTGAACAGCAGCAGTGCCCAAACAGCTCTCTTGCTATCATTTCATTCCCTTTTCATACCTGCTTCTGTTGTGCTAGCAACGACATTCGTGCAACTTGTTCTAACACAGTTTATAGCCAGATCAGTACCTCAACCCAGTTCACTGCACAGCAATAGGCAATCCTGCCAACCAGAAGTGCTAGCACGATGGTTGGAAAGAAGCCAAAGCACGAGAGTCACTAAAAAAGTCAGTCTAATCACAGCCAGAGCACAAGGAACTAAACAAAAAATACCTTATCCTCACCACAGGTAGGTAGTTACCACTGACTACTGAGGTACTGGAACATCGTCAGCAAGGCGATGTTCATGAAGAGCACTGCTTCAAATTTAGACAACCCAGAAATTTTCACTGGTTTTCATCTGAGAAAATCCTGCCGTTTCTGGGGAAAAAAAAAGAACAACTACTGGCAGGAGCATACATGTGACCAGTAAGTCATGAAATGCCCACCTCTACTAGCAAACCATCATAGTAACCTAAACATCTGTCAATTCAGAGCTGGCAATTAACATGCATATTCCAAAGCATCTGGAAGTTTCAGAGAGTCAACACCACCACCTCATTAATTCAGCAGAGCTTTTTGTAGAAGTCAAATTACACGTCAGTCCAATTCTTCACTGACAATAATTTCTCAACGCTGAGTATTCTATATCCTTCATCAAAAAACCCACAAGGATTTTCAGAACTTCAGACTTACTCTCCAAAGTCTAACAGAGAAGGTAGAAATAACCTATCAAAATACTGAATTGAAGAAAAAGGTTTTTGTACAAGTGTCCTGTACATCTCAAATATATTTGAAAATAATAGCGATAGTGAAAAAACTACAGAACTTGTCAACATTCTTTTGGTTTTCCAGTGAACATGGAACAAATCCAAGCTTACTGACAAGCAAGCATGCTCCCTGCAAAACCAAAGCTCAGCGTGGCAGTAGACAGTTTTTGTAATAATATCCAATTTTCTTAGCTTAAATAATATTAAAAATTGGTGACCACAGCCTAGAATACTGTATTTAAAGAAGTGGTTATACCAGCAGCTAGAACAACCTGATAACATACAAAAATAACTAAAAAACCCCCTAGTTAAATTCTATCAAGTTGTAGTCTGTAAGTTCTAGCAAAACTGACAGTAGTGGCATGACATACTAAAATTCTAATGTATTTAACCTAGATTAGAAAGTGTTTGTTCTTCATTTTAAACAAAGAAGGCTGCTATTGCCTGACAGGGGCCACAAACATTAATAGCTAGATTATGACTTCCTGATTATGACTAACGAAGAATTTTCTACATTAGCTGTCACTTTAGATATTAAAAACACAACCAGAAGTCTAAACAGCCTTCTTACATTAAATCTTATTCTTAAAACACTTTAACTACAGATAGTTTCAGATTTGATCTGCATCAAGCTTCGAGTTGGAGTACAGCAACAATAAACATCAAATTGAGAATGTTAAGTACTGAACCATATTAGTATAACTGAAATTGCCCCCCCCCCTTACTGAGGCAATGGTCAGAACAACCCCAACTATTACCTCTATCTTTTCAAATGTGTGCTCAGACAAGTGAACTTCTCAGTTTAACATTCCAGCCAGAACAGAGCACTTCCAACAGCACATTGTATAATAGCGCTGATTCAGTACTGAATACAAACAAAACAAAAACCACTCCAAAGACCTTCTACTGAAATCACCAATACCTTTTCTAGCTGCTACCATGCTCTCTCAGCTTCCAGCTGGCTTCCAACCTCCAGCTTCTAACCAGCTTTAAAGGTAGCTTATAATCTGACAGACCACAATTAGATTGTTATATACCTTGAAAGATTTTCAGTGAGAGACAAAAAGAGCATTTTGCACAGATAATGTGCCACTTCATAAGATCACAAAATTATTTATCAAAATTCAAAACTCTACCATTAAAAAAAAAAGATACTTGCCACCTACCTAGCTGTGAAACCAGCTATTACAAGACACTGACATTTCTGAATAAGCATATAATCTTCAAGCTATTTAAGACAGAGTTACAGGCCAAAAAACTTGAGGATGTCTGTAGGAAAATTACTGGTAACTTCGCTCCTGCTCACCCCAAAGTTTTTGTTCAGTCTTCTGCTCTGTTCTCTCAACTTGTTCCTTGATCAAAAAAGGTGCACATCAGAAAAACTCTACCTTACTTCATACCTAAAAACTGCAAGTACAAGATAGGTATCCTATTCATGAAATTGGCTATGATCACAAGAACCTAAGCCAACTTTACTTCAAACACTACTGCTTCAGTAACAAGCGCTGCACATACGGACAAAACAGACACCTAGGCAGAACGTATCTCACCATGCCAACATGTATCATGAACGGACTTTTTTTTTGTT